CTTTGATGTATTATTTAATAAAATAAAAATGATTTAGTACACAACTACCATTAGTATAAAAAAAGTTGGGTTAAGTGTCACTGACAGCAGACAGCGAAAAAAACAACCCAATAAGTACTTTTTTCTTGTTTTTATGTGTATTCTTTATTTATTATTATTATGAAAGTAACTGAAATGTAAAAATATGAATCTCTTTAGGTTAGTTAAGGTTAGATTAGGTAAAATAAATAATAGTAATAAAATAAAAAATGTACCTGAGGCACTCACGCAAACAGCTCATGAGTGATGTAAATAGCGTAAATAGTTGTTAAGACATGGTTCAAAGGGCAATAAAACAATAAAATTTAAGTATAAATAGTAACAAAACAAGACTCAATATATTCAGAAACAAATCTTTTGTAAAAATACTTCATTAAAAATGTGATTTTTTGTGTAATGTTTCCCAAAAGTTTACCAAATTTTGTGAAGATACATATACTGTATTAAAAGTTATAGTATAAATACTTAATGAGTGCAAATGTGTATAAAGACTCGGTATTTTATAGCTAGCCCGTTGGGAAAGGGTTAAAAATTCATGGTATCAAGGCAATATGACTGTACTTCTGCCTGACTTTGTGAGCAACAGCAGCAACTCATTCTGTTATGCTGCAATCACTGCAAGAGAACTGAGGTCTTTTCCAAGAAAGTTTCTGCTAGTTAAACTGAGGAAGTGAGAACAGAATTCTTGTGGTTAAAGTGCAACTGACATATCATGTCATTGCTAAACATCACTCTTTAAAATGCCTCAACAAAATGAGAGCCATGCCCTGAAGAAATAGAAGGTTGGTAAAAGCTAATGCTTTATTATTACTAAAAGGCTGGACCTGTCAACATAAATATGGAAAGCAGTTTATGAGGTAAACATTTTATAGGATCATTGTATAAATATCCAGTATAACTTTTTTTTGACAGCTGGACCAAAGCACTCAAATTCCAAGGCTGAAATAAGAAAAGCTGCTGAGAAATGCCTGAATGTTTCACAGGCCTGAAAATATTCTAGATACTGTGATATATACAATCAACAAGAGACTTGAGAGTCAAGCTCAAAGAACCAATAAGTATGTAATTAAAATTATTTTTTTCTTGTGTTTTTTATGTGAGTATTGTATCCACAGTATCCACTGACAAGATGGATGGATATTGACCATGATTATACCACAGATACTTACATACAAAGTTTACTTCAATTACTTCCAAATACATGGAGTATGTGCATTTTATAAATGCATTGTCTTGTTGATCCTTTTGCAATGGGTACCTCTTTAAAACTTTTCTGCAAAAGTCACTGTTACATTCAAAATTTAATTAAACACCTTTACTATCAATGTATGCAAATGAAATTAACATTACAATGTATGTTATGATTCGAAGTTTTATGTTATATAAATTTTAATTCTTTATTTCAAAAAGAAACCTTTAAAAAACTACTTAAAACTTAAGATGTATTGTCACGTAACCAAAGGGCTATGAAAATTTCTACTTTGGCACTCTGTATCTTCAATAATACTATGACAGTTGCATAAACGTACATCTAGACTATAAAATGCTTGCTTAACCTTTTGACTTGTACATTTCAAACTTCTCTGAATGAATGCAGTTAAAACAAGTAATAAATTTTGCCAACCATGAAAGGTGCCACACCCACTTTCAACATATTTGTTTGAGCTTTATATCCTACATGTAGAGGTTATATACACATGTATATAGTCATTAGAAAAAGCTCATTTTACACTATAATCTAACAATGGTTATTTTGAAATTGGCATGCAGTTTTCGTCATGGAGTACATGTAACTGACTGTAATATTGTTGGCTGCTTGATTGACTATAGCACTTATGGTAGTTAAATTCTATTCAGATCTTACTTTTATATTTTAGTTAATTATGTATTATCTATGTTTTAAAATTCATAATTGAAAGGTTTATTCATTTACTAAATATACATCCTACTGTGCATCAGTTCACAAGGCTTACAATATTACATGATGCACAAACATTTCCCGAATGGTTGCACAAGTCTGCCAAAGATACTGTAATATGCCCCGAGGGCACCATTGATTTGTGTCAAGATGAATAATAAGTGGTAAAGGACTAGACCTGAAATTACAAATTTAATCAAAGGAAAATCTTTAAAGATATTCTATAAAAATATCAAAAGGTATGTATTTTTTTATTCTATTTCCTAATTTTAATCCTTTCAATGCATTGTACGTTGATGATAATACCTAAAGTTAGTGAAACGATAGAAAAAATGAAAAATAAACTATAAACGTTTACCTTAAAAACTTTTGATATTCATTTAGAAGGTTTTATATTTACTAAGGAGGTTTTAGTGATTATGAAAATGAAGGCTGAAATTTTTAATTTTTACATAAAAATCACTTTGATCTTGGAGTAATAAAAAAAATATTCGATCCATTCACGGACAAATTGTTAGCAAAAATACTTCATTAAAAAAACAGATTTTTTTTTGTACAAATGACATGTAATATTTACTGAAAGTCTGCCAAATTTTGTGAACGTTCACATATTGTATTCAAAGTTATAATATTAAAACTATATATAAGTAAAAATGCTCATGTGGTTGGTTCCTGGGACCTAGCTCATGTGGGGAAAAAAAAAAAAAAGTTAATTTGGGTATTTTCAAAATTTAAATGTGCTGTGGGTAAAACTTGTGGGTTATTAAAGCTGTAGCTAAGGGTTCCAACTGGACAAAATGTGGTGATATTATGTCAATGTATATTCTTGAAAAACCAAGTAAACATAATGGGGAATTTCAGCCTGTGATTATGATTTTTGTTGCCAGCAATACCAAGCGTGGGGTGGTACGCATATACCCAATTCAATGTTATTACTGATCATGAACTCTACCAACCTACCCTCAAATCTAGTTATATGGCTGGAAGAATTTAAAAAAGACAAAGTTGCTTGTCGTAGCAAAAAGCATCATTGTTTCATGCAAGTTGCAAGTCAAGTGGTACTGCAATGGCTGATATATCGGCATGACAGACAGACAGCTTTACATCTTTATATATAGAGTAAATTTAATAGGAATCTATTATTATTTTCATTTGTTTATTCAAGGAAAAGATAGAGGAAACAAAATCTCAGAATCTTTAGCACTCAAAATTTCAGGAATGCAAAAACCCAGGTGAATATTCTTGTTTCTATAATATTACTCTTTATACTTATTAAATAATGTTACATGTTTTCATGCACAATACTGATTTCAAGTTTTCTTTAATTTTACTGATTTTGTTTATAAGTATTGAATAATGATTAAATACACCATTATTATGTCAAACAGCACTTTAATATCATTTTGCAAGGTGGTGTACAATCAGCATAAACTGTCACATTTTCAAGAATTGTCACTGTTGTTGGCTGTCTCAGAAGAGGACTACACATGTGGATCCACTGCTCTCAGCACTAATAATCCTTTGACTGAAACTGTTCAAGTTTGACTGAAATGCAACTCAGGTTGAACTGTCATTCTATGGCTCATCTTTGAGCAGTGCATGCATTTGTTGTTATTGTGCTAGTACAAAAGCTGACAGAGATGGAAAGTTAGAAAATAATACAAGACTGTTCTTCCTTACTGCCATGTTTGCATATCAAACAATAAAAAACTGTACAGTCTATTAAATCTTGAAATTGATAAGGTCATTGTCCCCCACCCTCTGTCCATGTATACAAGATCATGATCATTAGGAACTGTTCAACTTGTTTTCTTTTTCAGGTTCTTTTTTTTTATAATTATATAATACATCACATATTCAATAAGGTATGATTTAATGTCACCCCAGGATCATATTGGAGAGGCTCAGCTGGTATTTGGAAATTACTGAATAGGTTACTAGGTTGTCATGGCAACCACAGAGGTATCAAACATCCAAAAAATATGTTTTGCAATCAAATTCACTATGGCAATGTAACATAGAAGATGAGAGTTTAAAATAAATCACATTAATACAGCTGTGTAAAAATTGTTAAAGTCTAGTCTAAAAAATAATGCTGATTGCCTTGATAATGACTGAATTTACACAATTCTATAATTTTATTGTTATTGTGCTGTATATCATACTATGAAATTATATTATAATGTTTTGGGTTCAAATATATCATGTTCATATACTTTTAATATGTTCGCTACCCCATAATAAAATTATGTATGAAAAAATTAAACATTCAAGAGGTGCCAAGGAGCAGTCACAGTGTCCCAAACTCGTGTGTCACAAAAGAAATTTGGTTTTGAAACATAATTTTCTGTGACCAACCGGTGTGTCACAAGGTCCAAAACTAAAAGTTGTTTGTGACCCACCATTGGGACACATGGCAGTGAATGTGTTAAGTAAAGTATATTGTATTTACAAATAAAAACTGATTAAATATACAAAGCAGTCTTTTTTCCATGTTAGAACTGATTTTCATTATTTTGAAAGTCATGGTTTATTAAATGTGAAAAATATTAAATTAAAAAATCATATCATATTAAAACAATTTCCTACCTATAGTACTTTTTCAATGTCATGTAACTGCAAACAACAAAATACATTTTTAGGCCTAATCTTGGAGCATTAACAGCACTGTCAAGATATACAGTTACACAAACTTTATCAAATTCAGATGATTATTGTAGATCCTTAACAACTTACTGCCAATTCACACAGCTACATGAAGTCTATCAAATCCAAGTGATAATCACTGGCCATTAGATGTATACTGTCAGGATACACATTTATGTGAATACTATCAAGTCCATATGGAGCATAAGTATTATACTGTCTACATTCATAGATATTTATGGAGCATTAGAAGTAAACTGGTAATATAAATACATGACAACCAGAAAAATCAAAGAAATGGTGAACATTAGAATCCATCAACTACAGGTAATATTAGAAAACAACAGCATTCAGTCCATACATATGATTACGTAGGTTATGGAATAAAAATACTTACTGCCATGATGGATTGATTTGGCTTTGGTGTAAGTTCTGTGGCTTTTGTTGTAACTGTACTAGTTATGGGTGGTCCTGCTAGCCCAATAAACACACAAAGAAGGAAGCATGCAAAAAATGCAGCAAATACAAGCACAAATTCTCGTTTGTGCATGCTGTAAAGTCGCATCTGTACGGATCTGAAAAATTAAAAATTTTAGAATGCAAACAATGATAATCAGAAATACATACCAAATTGAAAATATTCAATGGATAATTATGTCTAAAATATTATTTTCTGTCAGTGATATTTAATATTCAGGCAATCAATCAAATCTTAAAAAAGAAAAGTAATTGGTATGGTTGTGATGATCGAATACCAACCGCTGTCAAAGTTAGTAACCTATAACAGTGTTTCTCAACCACCTTTCTGGTCCATGGGATTTCATGAAAAAAATAAAAATAGCAGTATATTCATATGTAAATTGTAATGGTTTTTCTTTGTACTTGCATTTTTGTGGTCTGTGACAGTTTAGGGACGAAACAAGCTGTATCCCAGGTATCGAAAAGGTTGAAAAACACTGGCATATATAATCCCCTTAGTGTAATTACTAATTTTAATTCTTTACTATTATTTTTTAATTCTTAGATACTAATTGGCAATTTTGGCTACTAATCTGCTGCCATATTAAGGGTAGTCAGGTGTGCTATGTACTCATCTAGTTTCACTCCAGTGAAACTTCTACACTAGGTTGGCCCATATGATATTGTTTAACTATTGGTTAGTTAGATGTTGAACGATTCTTTTATCTTTTCTTTTCCCTTCTCATATGTGGTTCACATTCACTTCTTTCAGTGTTATTCCATTTTATCACATGATCTGCTTCTCTGGTATGATGGGCTATTGCAGATAGTTTGATATTACACTCTTGTATGCCTCTTTAATTCTGACTTTTGCCTTTCATTTCTCTAATATATTAGTCCCTACATTCACTACCAATGAATTGGGTGAAATTTTTGCTCAGCATTAGATTTTAAGAGGTTTGGTGTACAATAATTGTATTCTGGTTTTATTTGGTTTACATATTATACTTTAGTCGGATGTTGGTGTACTTTGGTGACAGATTTTCTTGTAGGCAGATTTTGTTAAACAAGACCGATGTCTGTAG